TAGCCTTAGGTATGTCCTTTGTGCATGCACGCACACAAGACACAAACAAGCATAAATTGAACTTAGTTATTTCGATCTCCCATTCTCAGTTGGGTTTGTGAGCGATTTCTAGGAATTGAATAAGGGATTATCATGGAAAAAATATCATTGCTTATTCATGCATCACACAATGCCAGCTAATTTTTAATTTTTATACAGGGATTTTCTGAGACCTGAAAATTATTCCAAAGGTTCACCCAGAGTAAAAAAAAATTTAGAGAGGTTGGTTTAGGCTAGGTAAATATATGAATGCAAATGTGCTGCTTTATAAAGCCTTAGTAAGATGACACTTAAAATACTGCATCTAGTTTTAGTCACCATATTATAAAAAAAGATGTAGAGACTCTGGAAAAAGTGCAGAAAAGAGCAACAAAAATGACTAGGGGGCTGAAGGATAAAACATACAAAGAATGGTTGCTGGGGTTGGGCATGTCCAGTCTAGTGAAAAGAAGGATGAGGGGTGACGTGATAGTACTCTTCCAATATTTGAGGGGCTGCCACAAAGAAGAGAAGATCAGCCTATTTTCCAAAGCACCAGAAGGCAAGACAAGAAGCAATGAACAAAAAGTAATCAAAAAGAGATCCAATCTAAGGAGAAATTTCTTAACAGTGAGAACAATTAACCAGTGAAACAGTCTGCCTTCAGAAGTTATGGATGCTTCATCACTTTTAAGAAGAGAGTAGACAGCTACTTGTCTGGAATGGTATAGGGACTCCTACTTGAGCAGAAGGTTGGACTAGAAGACCTCTGTTGAAAGAAAAATCTTTATCAGGGTCCAGTCCAAGCCATGAATAAACAAAATGGAGGCTATTTGGAAAGAAGGTTCTTTATTGAGTTGCAGAACCAGACAGAAATGTGGCTCTGGAGCAGCTGACCACATAGTGCTGGGAGTGGTGGGTTTTTATATACCTTCTTGGGCTTTTGTGTTCGGGGAATTGTTCCTGTTCCTGTGGCATGAACTTTGATCTGAGGTTCAGTGTGCCCTTTTGGTATTCTGATGATGGTGGGTTAATCCTATTCTGTCCTAAAAGTCATGTCCTGCTTCCCTGGGGCTGTGGCTGATAGCTATGTCCTGTGTTGGATTTTTGAGTGAGGGGTTGCTGGTTCTAATTTTATCACTCTGATATTGTTAGCTATCAAATCTTGCTGCAAGGGACTTCAAAAGATCCTTTCTTGAACGGGTTTCTGCAGGTACTATTTGCTCATGAATGGGACTGAATGGGATTGTCAGATCTGTATTTCTACAGAGCTGGCCTGCTCAGTTTCTGTTTGGGACTATTAAGAAAAACTGGGCCTGCTTTTCTGCCTTTAAGATCCTTTGGAGAAATATAATATTCTGTCTTTTTAATATCCCCAAAATACTTCTTTCTCTGGGAGGGGCTGACTTCCCACACCTTCAAGGTCTCTTCAAACTCTTTGTTGACAGACAATACTGTCTGTCAATAAAGGCCAATTCTGTTATTCTGCCTGTATATATACATATGCTATTACCTATGTATTATGCGATTATCTAAGTGGCAGCGGTAATAGCTAAAAAGCTACTGCAAACTAAGTCTTAAACCGGCTTAGAAATATATGGCCTATAGGCTAGATTTGGAAATGAAAAGAACCTCCTAGATTAGAAGGAAGCAATTTCTGCTAAGAAAACTAGTAGGAATCATGCTTAAGACCTGGGAAACCTAATGAGATATAAACAAATACAAACATACAGGTAATTTGTTTTGAAGATTTGATCATATTCTGTGCCTGTTCTCCTGTGATTGGAAGTCCCTGTATTTCTCAGTAATAATACAATCATTCTTCATATTTCTTCAGTTCCATTCAAATTCCAATCTTTTTTTCTTTAGCAAAGTATACTAATGAATAGAAATGTTACAACAAGAATAGAAGTCATGTGTTTTTTCTGCATCATGCATCATCCATTTTAATTAGAGGAAAGAGTAGTGAGTATAGTGACAAGAGTGTGGAATTAAAATCATTAATTGATGTCAAGCTGAAGAGAGGCTGCTAACATGAATTTAGTGACAGCAGGAAGGAAATTAACCTTATTACTTTATTTAGAGCATCCGTTTATTTAATATTTTGTCTATGTAAATGCAAAGTGTTTTATTTATGACAATGGCAAAGGACAAATAATTCATTAAACTGTGAATATTTATTATTTCAAAGCAATGAATCTTAGAAATTATACATTTTGAAAACATACATTAAAGTTAAGAGATACATAACTTAATGTGCTTAATTTTTTTAATTTTCCAAATGATAAGGGTTAACACTGATTCAGTTTGTTTTTAGTTGCTTTATATATGAAGGAAACCACGTGATGCAGATATACATCAAATGACTCTCCTCTCATTATAACACGGATAGTAACAAATAGCTAGCTAACATCTTTCTTCTAGTTTTATGTATAGAGGTAAAAGAGAAGGCTGATTATGTTCAGTGTCAGTGAAAATTGAAGAACAACTAATAATTAATGCAATAAAACTTGTTCTTAAAAAAAGACAATAGTACCACTTTTCAGATAGTTGCTGAGCCAAGATGTCATGATAAAAGAATAGAATTCTGTCTGTCAACAAAAGCTACCTGGAACTATGAAAGCATCAAATGGAATCAAGAGCATCAGCAGCGAGACGCCTTGTGTATTTGTAGAATGTTCAAGGAATTGGAGTTCATTTAGGGATTTCTCAGTCTGGGAAATCTGCATTTAATTTCTGTGAAGCAAAATATTTTCATAGTTTTTATGGTCCAGATAAGAATTGATAGTAGAAGGAAATCTATTGTAGTTGTTAAACTACTGAAATTTAAAGGATGAAATTTGCTAAATTCATTCAACACACATTAATTAAAAATTGTGAGCCCAAAATATGAGCAAACATCTTGACCAGAATTGAGAAAAATGTTGAAGTTCAATTAGAGTGACTATCTAGAATTTCATATCTCATGGGGAATAAAAAGAGATACAGGTAGTCCTCAAGTTATAACAGTTCATTTAGTGACTGTTCAGAGTTACAACAGCACTGAAAAAAGTGACTTATGATCATTTTTCATGATCAAAATCCAGACGTTGGGCAGCTGACTCATATTTATGATGGTTACAGGGTCCAGGGGTCATGTAATCATCTTTTGCAACCTTCCGACAAGCAAAGTCGGTTGAGGAAGCCAGATTCACTTAACAGTTAGTGTCACTAACTTAACAACTGGAGTGATTCACTTAACAATTATGGCAAGAAAGGTAGTAAAATGGACTTAACAAATGTCTTACTTAGCAACAAAAATTATGGGCTCAATTGTGGTTGTAAATCGAGGACTACCTGTATATTATTTTTAATATAATCATATTTATCTACTATTACTTTGCTAATAATACATTTTTAAAACCTGATAGCAGTTTTATGTAAGTATGAACATTAAAAATATAACATGGATTCAGCTGTTTGGAAGCCATAAATATTCCTAATGTTAATCACGGTCAGGTCTTCTAGGCTGTGAACCCAGCCCTTGATTTATGGAGAGAACAGTATAGCCTAGTAACTTGAGAAGGAATCTATCTGGTGCCTTTTTTGGGACATCGATTTGTAGTGAGACAACACTTTGAAGATAGATGTGAAAAAATGGAATAGAGTCAAATAGGAATTGTAAAGGATTTAAGGAAAAATGTCACAGTATCAGGGATTAATTTAATGATAGTTTGGCTAGTAACCAAGAAAGATGCATTGCTGTCTTGAAATAGGGTAAAAATGGCCATCCATCAACATAGACAATTTCAGTGAACCAAAAGGATTATCTAGTTGTCTTTCCTTTAGTGATATGTTTACTGACCAATTAGGAATTAATTTTATACAAATCAGAAAGGAGCCAAGTTTGAGAATTCTCCTGATGACAGACATACATGGGGAAATCCATACTGTATAAATCTCAGCTCTTCTCAGTAGCTTAACTGATATCCTTTTTTCCTACAAGAAAATAATTGTAAAACATGATTATGCTTATAGTTGTATATTAAGGTTTTGGAAAGAAATAAAACAAAGGTGTTTTGATTTCCCAAACTATTTGGAAGAGAACCTTTAAGCACATTACACTATAAAAATCCATTTTTATACAATTTAGGTAGACAATAATGTACAGTTTATAATTTTGACATTCAGTTAAAGCTGCTACATCCAACCATACAAAGTTTTATATTAGTATAATATTATAGTGAGATCATTTTAATTTGATATTTGATAATTTCCATGAGCAGACTTAGACCGACTCATTGTTGATCCTTTCTGGACTTTACTTCATTATAGGTGACATTCAATAACATGTTTATATGATCAATGAATGAATGACACTGTTTTTCATGATTCCGTTGAAAATTGTCTATGTAAATGAGATCAATAGAATTGGAATTGGAATTCTTGATAAAAACCATACAATAGGGCAGCTGAAAGATTTGAAAGAATCTGAATGGTTAAAGAGCAGAATTAGAGTAAATATGAGATAAAGTTATAAGCATATCCTTTTAATAAAATGATTGTGGCAACCATAGAGATACAGTGTGATATAGTGTGGAATACATAATGATGCAAACAGAAATGATTAATAATTACTATGTGAAATGGTCTCAAAGCTCTTATAACATTATAATTCATGTCCACATAATATGGGAAAAATATTCAAGGGTACTTGCATTAAAGCAATCTAGTTAAAAAAAAATCTTGTATTCAGTAACCCAATGGCTTGTTTAGTTATAATTAGGCAAAGTAATACTGATATAGTTATATGCAAATCTGTCAAAACATCTATCATGTCTATTATATTAATTTTTCTGATAAAATCCCAATGCATTTCAATACTTAAGTATTTGATCCTTAAAGCTGTTTTTTTTTAAATTTAAATTTTAGTTACCCATGAATTGCAATTATTTTCCCACCCTATTTTCAAACTTATTTCTAGCTTTATTTCTCATTTCCAGGATACAAGCCAAGACCCGAGAGTTTCGTGAAAGACAAGCCCGGGAACGAGATTATGTCGAGATCCATGATTTAAACAGGACTTATGCATGTGATGCTGACTCAATGTATGCTGGAATTCCTTCATATTCCCCCATGAGTAGCAGCACAATTAGCAGTAGACCACAGAGCCCAGGGGAAACATCGACAATAGAAGCATTATATGCCCAAGTAAAGAAAGGACGCAATTCAAAATCTTCACCTGCAGACAGGTAGGCACCAAATCAGACTTCGGTCAATATTCTGCTTCCAATGTCTGGTTTGTAAATTTTCATTATTATTCTTGGCTATGGGAGGTGACTGTTTGTCAGCTGTAAAGCCAGAACTACATTTTATTAATGGATTTTTAAAAGCCTGTGTAGGGAAAGATATTGAATTTACACAAATCAAGTCATAATGGAATGAGCAGTATGATCTTTTCAGTTGATTTTAACACAGCTCATTATCTTCTGGAAGTGCTTTTAGATTCAAATTGCGCTATTTAGCATAATTCAGGTTAAAGTCACGTTTGGCTCAGCCTCTGCTAATTCAGCATCAGACATCCTAGAAATATACTGAGATGTTTATGAGCATTTTTCTTATTGATTTTCTGGAAGGTGTTGGGATCTGTATTGGTTCCAGAATTGGTTAGGCTCTTCTTTGGTCATCAGAACTAGGAATCAACAGGCACAAACTAAGAATCATTGTCAGCCCTTTGGCTGCTTCACCCGTTTTAAATTGAAAAGTTTGGAGCTTGAGTAAGGCATTATTCTTAGAACACATAATGCCCAGCTTAATATGTTGGTCTTTTTAACTCTAATAATGTACTGCTGACAGGCAATCTTCTCTGATGTAATTTGATGTATGTTTTTAGAATGTTTGCCCTAGTAACAGAACACAAAATTCTGGAGATAAATTTTCTATCTTGCTGGTGAAATATTAAACTGAAATGTTAAGATAACAAATTCCTAAATGTTTTTTTATTATTAGCCTTTTATTATTTCTAGTATCAGAAGCATTAGGCCTATATAAGTTGCAATTGCATTAATCTTCTGCTGGGTTCCAATCTAACTGGTCACATTTGGTCACCCTGAGCATTTGGTTTGATCCAACATGGTTCTTATTACACTGGTCCTTAAAAAAGGTTATCATATGATTGTGACATATCTAAGAAATAAATAAAAGAGAATAAACTTCGATACTCAGAATTTTCAGTGTTGGAATTGTAGCTTATGAATCAGCACCTATAAGTGGGAAAAGAATAATCTAGAATGAAATGCAAAACAATTAAGTGCAGAAAAATAGTGGAAAAATATGAAAAATTAAGGAGATAGAGAATCTGCTGTTGCAGCTTTGAAAGAAATTGAAAGTCTGTTCTCATCTGCAGTGCTAGAGGTTGTCCACCTTGTGTAGTTGAGAGGTAAAAATTTATGCTTTACATGCCCAAAGTTCTCAATTCAGTCCTAGATTTTCAGTGAAAGATTAATAGTGGTAGGAAAATGTCTGACACTTCGAATAACTGCTTTTATTGATAGAGTTATATGAGCCAGTGACCTGGTGGCATAAAATGAATTTATATTGTTATGAGATTAAGACAAACAGTTCACTCTGCTCAGTATCTGGTCTTTGGAGGGGAAATGGCATTATTTCTTAATAATGTATTAGAATATCATTCTAAATATTCTGTAGACAAAATCAGTTGGCAATAATATTTTCCAAAATCCAAACTTGTATTCAGCCTTTCATGACCAACATTAATCTGCTTTCTTTTCCTATTATTCTTGATGTAAAAAGGCAGAAAGGTGCCACTCACTAAGAAAGAGATTATAATGTTTAATGTAGAGCACAGTATTCTAGAGATATTTGTGTAACATTTGGACCAAAGATAACTTTCAAGATTTTCATCTCAACAAAACAAAAGGGAATTCTATGCAGAGTACAGACATCTACTAACAAAACCTGTTACACCTTTCCAGATTTCCAACTGTTGTCCTATGTGAGTGACAACAAATATTTGGTTTATTTTAATTTGTGTATGCATTGCATCATTTCATTAGTGGTTCTAGTGGTTCTAAAAATTCAGAAGACCTCTTAAAATACCTTTGGGAGGACCTCCCCTTATACCACATGAGTATGGGAAAAAGAAAATAGAGAGCTGGATGGAATTTTTTAATTTTTTTCTTCTTCTGTCATATCAAATAATTTCTAGGGAGTTACATTCCTATAGCAAATATTTTTATACAAGCTAAGAAATGGATATGTGGGCCTGGTTTCATTTTTTTTCTTTTAGATGACAGTGATATTACATAACATGTGATATACATATACCAACTTTTGTGTGTGTATGTATGTGTGTGTGTAATCTAACATATAAAGATAATTCCATGAAAAGACAGCTGCTAATGGACATTTACAGGCTGTTGCTATGACATCACTTCCCACCAAAGAGTACATTGTCTTCAAAAGGAATTTAAAGGAAAGAGGCATTGTGCTGCTTAAGACTTAATGGCTTCAAAATAGTAGGCTAGAATCCCACAACTTGCACTGGACACTATAATGGAAAAGTAAATACCATAATCATGGTTTTTTTTTGCATTCACTATGCCATTGAAGATACCCATCAGGAAAAAACATCTTTGTGAAATGGTTCCTCTTCCATTAAAAGTGGAATCAAGTTGTATCTCACAAAATCTCAACTGAAAAAAAGAATGGTTTAAGAAGGATAGAGAGGGGAGAAAATTCGTCTTATTTATTTTTAATTCACATATGATATTGATTGACATAAAAAAGTGACTGGTTAATTTTGTGTTAATTTTATTTGCAGTTTAATACAATTTCTGAAAGGAATATAATTTTGTATAATTTAGAAAAGTGCTAGGAAAGAAGTACAAGATTCGTTCTGAAATATTTTTATGAAAAGGAATTTTAATAATATAAAATAATATTTTATGAATATATGATTATATCATTTGAAGTTTCAGTCATATCATATTTTTAAGGTCTAAGAGTAATTCATTGCACATATTCTAAGCTTTTTTTCAAAATACCTTAGGCTGAAAGATATGAAGAAATAACACTTTCTGCAGGTGCTAAAAAGAAATTAATTTCTTCCAGAAACAGAGAGGTTTGATATTTAGAAGCATAGAGTTAGAAGGAATCATTTAGGCCAATCAGTCCAACTCTAGCTCAATTCAGAAAGTCAAAGTATCATAAAGCTTATTTCAACACCATGGTAATGCATAGATTCCCAAATGGAAAAAATTCCTTGAGCTGAATTGAATAATTCTTCTGTAAATTCCTACAAAGAGCGTTAACAGGATAGGTAGTTTTCTTTCAGAATAATTTAAATGAAAGTTTTATCAATTAGTTAATGTTACCTTTTTTCTTAGATCACAAATGCAGTTCCAGGACAACTGGTCCCCCAACTATCTTAAACGAAGTCTAGACAAGTGTCTGAATCAATCCACTTTCTTTCCTTTAAAAACAATGTTTGACTTGAATGATGAAACAAGCATAGTTAACATATATATAAATATAACAACAACAAAATGCATACAATTTGTCTGTATGTTACCTGATTTCACAACACTATTGTAGTTGTTCCAGCAAGTTTAATTCTCATCATTTGAACTTTAAACATTGAATGCCAGGAAAAGCCCTTCGACTTGGATTTAATGGTAATAAGTAAAAAAAAAATGAAGCTTGTCTGGTCTTGAGAGAAGCAAGAATACATAGCAGTTGATTAGAAAAAGTATTATTGGAAATACAACTAGTCACATGGATCAGCCTTCCATTTCCTTGAAGAAATTAGAATTCTCAGTTGATTTAAACTTATTTCACATGCACTTTAGGGCTTTTATATATTATTTTTTCTGCTGTATGCATCATGCACCAATAACCCCTCGATCTATTTCCTGTATAAATTGATAAGACCTGTTTGCTATTCCATAAACTCAATGTAAGGGGAACAACTAGTACCTCTAACTTTAATGGTCTTAGGTTACTACCTACTCTTCTGCCAATATGGATGCAATAGAAATCCACTTTTAATATAAATTCATGAGGATTTATGCAGAGCCCCTAGTGTGAGGTATATTTGCTTTGACCCTATTCATTGTTTGGGTTATGATTTTTGAGGGGCTGGGAAAAGAAATCATAAAAAGTTTCATTTAAATGTCTTTGAGTCTCCATAACAGAACTAAGAACTGATGTGACAGCAAGATCATCTCCAAAAACATTTTCAGCTGTGGCATTTGTTTATTATTTATTTATTTGTTTGTTTTTATGTTTTAAAAGAGTTCATTTTATAACTGAAGACAAACTGTTGGTTTGTTTTTAATTTTTAAACCTATTCTTCAAGACATACTGTAAATGGAAAAATGTATGAAGAGATAAGAGAGGAATGGTTTTCCCAGAGCAGGTTTAAAAACAGGAAAAGATGGGGGGGGGGGGGGCTGACATGAAGGATAGCCTACAAATGGAATAACGGAAAATCATTTAACAATCATCCTTTGTTTCAAGCTAACAATCACTCGATTCATTTTACAAATATTTTATTCAAGTGCAGCAGCTATCAGCAATATCAAGAGAAGTTCTGTCAAATACAATTTGTTTTTAAGAAGTGAGTCAGAATTTGTCATTCTTAATGGATGCAGTGCTGTGGTTGGTGTGCAGAAAAGAGAAAACCACAATGTGGAAGAAAGCAGGACTTGTTTTTCCTCAGATTTAGTAATATAGTTTTTTTAAAATCTGAAACACAAGATCTGGGTGCAAAGGGATAGATATTTGTATTTGAATTTATCTGGCTGTAAATTCGAAAGTCTGGGCTGTAGAAAGACACAGTTCTTCTGAAAAAATATATGTATACACAATTTGAGAATCTTCATGAAAACTGGGGATTTCTGTGAACATTTTACTCTATCTTCTAGGAAGCCAGTTTCTGTAGAACTTTCATTTTTCATCCCTAACTACCGTACTAACTCAGGTTGGAAAGGAATATATAATTTCTATGTTTAGATTTCTGTTTTTGGCTTTTTTGACCTGTGATGCTAAGTCTCTCTAATTTAAAATAACCCTAAAATCATATGGGCTTATTTAAAGTTGTGTCAGTTTTGCAAACAATTCACCTTTCAGTGTTCAATGTTAGGAAAGTTATGAGATTACTTGCTTGCCTTATTTATAGTCCACTCTTCTCTTGTTAAATTAAATATATACAGGTGGTTCTCGACTGACA